AAATTTGTTCTAAAGTGGATTGAGGCACCAGGTGCCTCATACGTTTAATTGCCCCAATACCCGAAGCGATCTTTTTTGTAATATTTTCAATGTGACATTTCCAGTTGAGTTTACCATCAATTGTCACACCGTGTGATTTTGTAGTCTCGACCTGTTTCACTTGAATACCGTTTATTGTAACTGTTGGGGAGGCYGTAAGGGTCTTCAGTCTTTGACTAGATCCTATTAACATSAACTCCGTTTTGGTCATRTTCAGGGTTAGTTTATTAGCATTTAGCCAAGCATGCACGTTCAATAGGTCCTCGTTAAGACAAAACTCGATGCTGCTAGCRTCGTTGCCTACGTATGTGAGATGAGTATCATCGGCATACATTCTCGGTTTACAATTTGATAAACAGTTCGGAAGGTCATTGATGTAAAGTAAGAATAGAAGGGGGCCGAGAATGGTTCCCTGAGGGACTCCGCATGCTAATATACGTATTTCAGATAATGACCCATTGACAGAACTTTGCTGTGTTCGATTATCTAAATATGACTGAAACAGCTTCGACGTATTACCAGATATACCATAGTGGTCTAATTTAGCTAGGAGAATATTGTGGTCAACGGTATCGAAAGCCTTTTTTAGATCAAGAAATATTACTGCATTGATTTTTCCAACATCTATATTATATGCCCAGGAGTCAGTTGCCTCAAGCAAAGCTGTGACTGTGAAATGAGCTGTGCGAAAACTCGACTGATTTTGACAGAGTACCATTGTCTTTCCATCTCCATTATGTGCCTTCACTGTGTATTATGTAATCAGAAATGTTCTTGAGATGTGCTTCCCAAATTCTTGAATCTTTCTCAAGGAATTGTTGGCTTATGATTGTGTTCTGTGGCTTTGGTAGGCTCTTGGCAATTCTTGATAGTTCCCTTTCCTGCTCCACCATAACATCTGTACCTTGACCGTGCTTGTCCTCTGCTGATATATGCAAAAATGCATTGGACACAMGCTCTTCTGTCCTTTTACTCCATGTTTTGCGGGTTATGTCTGCCACTCTGTCGAAGTATCTTTCGAACAACTCTGCACTTATTGATCGAAGACAAATAAGCCGGTAGAGGAGAGCAGCGTGATTAACAATGCTGTGGTAATAAAGACCGTAGAGCTTTCTTCTGGTTATGGTTTTGGGTGGGGTTAAAACATGTTTTACTGCCATGGAATATCTTAGAGCCAAGTTGTAGAGTCTCAGGATCTGTKTTGGTGTTCTAGTATCATCGTAAGAGTAGTAAATACCCATCATCTCGCAGAATGTTAACAGAAGCTCTTTAACCTCTTGTGGGACATCAATATTTGCATTACAAAGAAGGACAGTGAGCTGAAGAAGAGCTCTTCTGTAGTCTGTGCATCTCAGCTTTTCTTTATTAAGTGCTATTGAAACAGTCTCCTTAAGCAATATCAGCAGGTCAACATCAGTAACATGGTGTTGGAGCTCAGCCAAAGACAGCAGTAAAGGGGCTCAAAAAACAGAACTTCATAATTCTCAGGGTTCAAACCAGGAAGTGAAGCACTATTATCGCCATATAGTGGTGCTGGCACTCTGACTGTGCCTCCTAGAATGTTGGTTAGTCTCTCTTGAAGGTCTGCTTGCAGTCCTTCTGTGCTCTGTCTTCTAGCTCTCAGCTCATCTCTAAGCTCTTTCAATTTAAGTTTACTGAATGGATGGTCTTTTGTATGGTTTCCTTTGATCCTGCTGTGACAAGATCTGTCTTCTCTTGGAGGGTTTTATAATTTCTGTATGACATGTAGTCGTATTCATCAGCCCTGTATGTCTCCATCACACCCGACACACCCACGGTGGCCTCCTTTTTGAGTGCCATCTTCAAGCTCGACACTGGGATTATCMCCATTCATAAACCTCATTTCATCTTGAATCTCTATTCCACGAAGTTCCAGTGGCTTTGACATTTCCTGTAGGCATTATCTCCTTGTTGGTGAATATTTAAGTTGATCAACATCTGTACCACCAGTCATCCCCATCATGTACAGCTGTGGTGTTTCAATTTGAGATTGTACTCGACTGTTTGGAACACCATATTTGTCATGATATTCTTTGTCTGTTAAGTGGATGGCGGGRTCATATATCTCTCTCACCAAAAACAGCAACATACCTAATATTGATGATAAAACAACAATTTTATATAGAGGATATTACATGGTCGCGCGGATATATAGAGTTTATCTCATGGAAAGTGCGACGTACGGGATTTTATTCACGAGTTGCTTGCATCATACAACGAACGAGCGAGGATCGCCGATGACTCCTTTCATGGACTTGCGTATGCTTCTGATGAGACGTTCCCACACTCTGGAACTTCCATTGCGGAATGGGACAGCAATGCCACTCTACTTCACTGGAATGTAGATCTGCCTTAATAGTCTTTTCGTCCAACTCTTGGATAGAACGACGTAATTCCTTGTCTGCACCACAGAAACTCGTGCCATTATCCGACCAGATTTCCTTGGGTCGCCCACGCACTGCCATGAATCTATGTAGGGATTGTATAAACGTGTCGGCTTCCAACGAGCTGACATCCTCGATGTGCACACAGCGACTGTTAAAGCACACGAATATGCATCCGTAAATCTTGATTGTACTTCGAGCGTGGTGGCTGATATAGTACTAAACGCTCCTTGGGCAAATTCGCCATCTTCTGTTGCATCACAGGACCTTCACGTCTACGACAGGTTACGCACTGACGCACTAGTTGACGAATAAGTAATCGAGCTCCTAAGATCCAATATCTCTGACGCAGTGTGCCAAGAACATGTTCTCGTCCCCCATGACCCAGTATTCTGTGATAGTGTAGTACTAGTAGACTTGAAATTGGGTGCTCCTTTGGCATTATGATGGGATGAGCAGCTTCATACGGTATTAGCGCCTTGTGGATCCTTCCCCCTACGCGGATAATGCCGTCTACTAAGGTTGGGTTAAGACAAGCGATCTTGCTAGCGGCTTTTACCGGTWGACCTTTCTGCAGGGCAATCAACTCTTCTTTAAAGCAGTACCCTTGAACCACTTWAGTGATAACTTGACTGGAGTGTCGCATCTCCGCTAGACTGATGGTAGTTGTATGACCAACATCTTGCTTCTTTGCGYGTTTGATGAATCGCATAACATACGACATAACTCTGAGAAGACTTGGSCATGATGAATGTCGTCGCAGTAACTCTTCGATTTGAGAMTCTATAGTTGAAGTGGTCGTGGCGTTACAATGTTTCAACACTTCCTGTAGTTCTCCATCTGGTATTTCGTCAGCCTTCCAGGTCGGCCATTGGTCTTCGGACATCCATAGAAATGACGGTCCAGATAACCAATGGGAATTGGAGGTGAAAGATTCCTCGTCCATTCCCSCGAGATCCTTCATCGGCGGGATTCAGTGTACCAGGTACAAAGTACCATTGTTCTTGTGAAGATGACTYATGTATTTCAGTGAGGCGGTTGGAGACAAATGTGTTGAAACGGCGTGTTCTATTCTTGATATATTGTAGCACCGTCATTGAGTCAGACCAAAAGCGGACTTCTCTCACGGGCTCTTCTAGCTCATCAAGTATTGTCTTGCTCAGCCRGGTAGCCTGCACAGCTGCTTGAAGTTCTAGTCGTGGAATTGACTGTACCTTTATTGGAGTGTTACGAGCCTTTCCCATGACGAAAACACAATGTAYCTTGCCATCTTGGTCAATCATTCTAAGATATGACACTGCAGCGTAACCACGTCTCGACGMATCAGCAAAGTTGTGCCGTTGCATGGTCGTAACTGTTCCAAGTTGAGAACTCTTGTAACATCTCGGAATATGGATGGTAACGATGTGAGGGAGGGATTGTATCSACTTACGCCATGATGAATAGTATGGTTCCGGAATTTGCTGGTCCCAGCTGAAGCCTTCTCTCCACAAGTCTTGCAATAGGATCTTAACTGGAAGTACAAAGGGCGCCAGGAACCCCAAGGGGTCAAACAATGAGCTTACARCACTCAAAATTCCTCTTTTGGTGCACGGTTTTTCGGTAGGAATGACTWTAAACTGAAACACGTCAGTTTCGGAGTCCCACCAGATACCCAGGGTACGTTCCATGGGGAGTTGATCAAGATCTAAATTCAGGCTTGGCTTGGCTCTTTCTTTAGAAGGAAGAGTTGCAAGGATTTCACGTCTGTTACTTGTAAACTTTGTAAGGCGAAAACCTCCTTCCTTCAGCAAATTGATAAGACCAATCGATATACGTGGAGGGTCCGACGCACACATGTGACACAGGTAAGCTACATGAAGTAACAACCGGAGCAGAAATTGTACTTGASAACCAAGGACTTGATGACGAAGGACTAGCCACCGGGGTTATGGTCATGGGACTTGGAGTCGAGATATGTCCAAGATTGACAGGCACATGTGATGCAGGTAATGTACTTGAAGTAACGACATGCGCAGAAATGACAATTGAAAACCAAGGAGTTTGTGGCGAAWACACATTAAAATTAAATGGTGGGCTTGACTGATTGTTCGAGGAGAAAATAGACACGGGTAGCGATAGGTTATATGGACTTGAAGTCAGTGGAACTTCTTAGGTCGTCTTCACATCATGCGTCGGGGACGCACAGTCACTTTGTTGAACTTCCCTCACGTGGGAAAACACAGGGTTTSGATTTGTTACACTTTAATCACTGCTTATTTTTCTTTTTTCCTCGAGTTCACTCTCCAATCTAGTTAGTTCGAGTTCAAGCTCCGTTTTCCTTATTTTGATTTCCAAGGTTTTCATCTCAATTTCAATCGCACGTTCAGCATCCTTAAATGATTGATTCGTTGGTTCGGCGGCGGCGATCATGCGTGACGAAGCATGACCTGTTTGAACTCCAAGTTGTTGATTTTTGAAATTTTCATCAAAGTATAGCCTTCYACATTGTTGCTGCAAATACTGCGACTTAACTTCATTGTATTTCTGGCAGTTGTYATCCAGTAAATCAAAGTATTGTYCACAACACAATTCATAATTGCTCCAAGCATTATTTAGGCGAGACTTCAAGATGTCAACATCAGCGTCATTTGCATTACTCGCTAACCTCTCAAGTTCGTTGTAGATTCTTGAAAGCGCTGATAAATATCCTCTCCTTCGTTTATCAAGTTCATAAACTCTCGCAAAGAGTGGACCATCGTTCTCCATCACACTCTCGCACGAGCCAGGATTTGGTTTTCACAAATGTAGAGGCTACACATCAAAACTCTTTATTGCCGTGTGTGGTTACAACTGATCTTAAACCGTGAAAACCTAAAACAAAAACACACGCATAGAACATTACAAAACATGAACACACGAAAAGCAAAACAAAGAAGGCAAAAAGGCACAAAAAACTCACCAAATATGACCACGGCAAATAAAACACACCA